GGGATTTGCTGCCAGTGGCTTGCTTATACCCACAGTCTACATCCAGTGAGTCAGACTACACTTCTGGCAACACCCCTACCCTCCCTCAGTTACTCAGGCTGCACTGTGAGGCGGCTCTTCCAGATACAGAAACCCAGGAAATCACCAGTGCCAGACGGTGTCTCCCCCTTCTGTCTTAAAGCCTGTGCTGACCAACTGGCTCCAATCATCAAGCAGATCTTCAACAGATCCCTGGAGCTCGCCTCCTGCTCTAAACACTCCACCATAATCCCGGCCCCCAAGACACCCTCCATCACAGGACTGAATTACTACAGGCCTGTTGCCCTGACGTCTGTAGTCATGAAGTCCTTTGAATGACTGGTGTAGGCCCGCTTGAAGACCGTCACAGAACACCTCCTGGACCCCCTGATGTTTGCCGAGCCAGTAGGTGTCAACAGGGGACTGCACCACATCCTGCAACACCTTAAATCACCTAAAATCTTATCGACTCCCATCCCTATTAACACCAGCAAAGGCACCTCCAAGGACCCAGCTGTTAAACTCTGGCACTGTGCAGACGCCACTGCTATTAATGGACTCATCCAAGGTGGCGATGTGTATGCAAATCGGCGGGAGGTTGAACGGCCGGTGCTCTGGTGCAGTCAGAACAACTTGGAGCTCAAGACTCCAGCCAGTTCCACGCCGGTCTGGTAAAATCATTACAGACTCCTGGACAGCACTACATTGTGGTTTGGGTCGCATATTTCTGTCTGATCCTGAATCAAGTCCAAGAGTTGTGGTAACTGAACCTGACCCGAACCCGACAGGCATCGAACCCGTTACGGTTAATGTGAGCTCAAGCACTGACCAGGAAGTATTCCAACAAAGGAAGTCGGTCCATTATTTTATTTGTTTTTACACTGTATTATCACCGTGTTACGTAGGCTAGCTCATCCTAGTTAGTAGTTCAGAAGTCGAACGTTTGCTGCCTATTGTTCGGCTGATGTGACCCAACATGACCTGAACCTCATTTCTAAATTTTTGTTGTTTCTGAACCGGGCTCGGGTTGGTCTTGCGGCTGGATATCCACCCTCTACCCAGACACAACCTTTTCCCACTCCTCTCCTCTAGCAGGCACTACAGGCGCTGGTTTCCTTTAAATAGCTGACCAGTATCATCTGCTAGACCGTAGCTACTCTTGTTTCTTCAGATATTTCATTCCCACACATTACTGTTGTTTGCTCTACCACACACAGATGTACTTTATCTTTATTGTTTGTCTTTTATATAATCTGCGTATTACTTGTATATTGGCTTTAAATAATGTGTACATTGTCTGTATATCGTCAGTATTGCTGGAGAGTCATCAACGGCCGCAACCAAATTCCTCACGTGTGATAACACACTTGGCCAATAAATCTGACTCTGATTCCAGAGGCTTAATTGCTTACTGCCCCAGTCCTTGCCATAATTCATTATGTCCTTTCTTTCTGGTGAAAAAAAACCAGACCACTGGTGTCAGATATATTATCAAAACCAGCCAAACAAAAGAAAGGGATGAACAGACAGACAGAAGAATGGGAGGAGACAGTGTTTGTAAAATTTCCACTGTGATCAGTTCCAGTGTATATTATTGTAAGCTCTCCAATGGCAGAGCTTGAAGCCAGTGTGAAGGATGAACATGAGGCAACCTCAGTCCTCCATCCTACTAGCCCCTCACTGTCTCATATTTTGCATAAAGCTGTTATTATTAAATTTAAATGAGGAAGGCCGCTGCAGAGCAGCAGGACTGTGACCTTCTGAATACATTTGTAGAACGCAAATTTGAGTATCCTGTGACAGATCTGCCTCCGTCTGTCACCTCACCATCCAGCAGACACTGTACAAACACGTGGTCTGGCAGTCTTAACCACAATCACTTTCACCATTTCCTTTTCAAGGTGGCCAATGCTATGTGGCTGCATCTTGATTTCAGATGGATCTTGTTTCAGAAAATGCTTTAATAGTAACACCCTAGAAGTTTTCTGGCCAGATTACACACTGCTCCTTTCTAGGCCATCACAAAATGAACTGTTATGTGCAGGGCTGCCCTGATTTTAGCTGTAAATAAAATAAGATATAATTACAATCCAAAATAAAACCCAAAAATAAACCATGACAGACCATACAAAGGCTTCATATGGAGGTGAAATTGTTTATTCTGTATCATTGTTACTTACATAGAGCGTATACAGTGAACTCTGGAACAAATCCAGCTGTGCTGACAATACAAAGCCACATGTGGCTTTCATCTCGGTTTGCTTATTTATGTCTCCTTTGAATTTTGCTACACATATTGCTGATTGTAACTTCCTCTAACATGTGATTTGTAAGCTTGACTATTATTCCATTTGAACTTTGGGGAGAAAAAAAAAAAAAAAAAAAAAACTTGCATCCTACTATAAAAACATTACCTTGGCTTTGATGATCCCCATTTGATCTTACTGTGAGAAAATTGGCTATTGTTCAGTATTATGTGTAGACCGCTGTATCACAGAATATTAAGGACATGACAGCATGGAGCAAAGTACTGTGAAAAATGCACAGCAGCACTGCTTTGATTGTGTCTAGCTGTTTTGTTTTGTTCGGCATAGAACAGAAGTATTGGAGACTCAATAGCTTTTATCTGTGTGCATCGTCTGAATAATTGTACTTGTATTACTTGTAATTGTAAAAGACTAGATAATTTAAATATATTAACTTTATTTACTGTTTATTCTTATTGTGTTCAGCACTGAGCAGCCTCAGAGGGCAGCGGGGGCTGTGTGCCTTTATACAGGTACCTAAACAATAGGTCCTGATTTCTAGTGGAGGTGTTTGAGCTAAGAGCATCTCAAAGTGTGTTTGCCATTTTATCCATTAGACTGTAGTCAGTCTCATAAGTGCATGTGTCATCTATTAGCAGTTTTTGTGCAAAACACTGGAAGTGGAGGGAAGCAATGGTATAATGCAAATTGAATTGAATAGACCAAACCTCATCCTAAATAAACGCACGACCACTGATCTCATGGATCATCTCCACAGAAATACTTAGAAAATGCTCAAAATGGTTCGTAGTGCACAAACTTGACCTCACATTATGCTCTGTTGAGGAAAACATCAGGTGCTATACTCAGTGTTTTTATATTCTTCAAATAACTTTTATGTGAAGAAGGTCACACACAGAATTATCACTTGAATGCAGTTCACCTCAATGTCGTTTAATGTTTTTGGGCTCACTGTTTCGGTCTTATAGCCCATAAAGAAGCGTTTAGCAGCTAAAGAGCTGGATATCCAGGGGGGTGGGGGAGACCAAAACAGAGCTAAAATGGGTGAATGTTGGATTTATAATTATCGGGGGGGGGGGGGGATATGACTCCAATTGAATGCTAATGTTGCTCCGCATCTGTTGAATCTTTTATACGGTGATCATTTTTCAGTATTGTTTGTTTGTGTAATTAAATCCTCATTAGCTTCTGTAAATGCAAATTACTGTTCCGCCCCCCAGTTGCCAAATAAAAAAAAGAAGAAGAAACATTAAGATGCAGGTTAAATATTGTGGGAATGCAAAAAAAAATCTGCTGACATAACACGAATTTGCATCTAATAAAATCAAATCAATGTTAATTTCATTGAAATACACTATAGGGTGTGATGAAATGAAGAAGAAAAAAAAAAAGTCTTGATATGCAGCTGTAATATGTGGCTGTATAATTAGCAACTTCTGCTGATATTGCTTTTACATTCGCATACACTGGGATATTTACTGACACGCAACAAACACAACAAACTGAACAAACTCATCCTGACAGTATGCAGCTTGTTGGAAAAAACAGCCCCCCCCCCCCAGATGTAATCAGAAATTCCAGTCATAAACGTACTTTGCTCATTTCTGCAGATTTTGCACGCAAAGTGTCACGCACAAATAATTATCACAAGCAACAACAAGACAAAAAAAAAAAGATTTCAATCAGCCATCATAACCTGATTACAGGGGCTGAATTAAAAGCCTTGTCTGGCTCATGAAGCCTTGACGTGAAGAGCAGACCCTTCACTTCGAGACTGTTGGGGGGTCTGTGGCTGGCAGAGGTTGTTACTGCACTGTTAAAAAAAAAAAAAACCCAGAGAGGAGAGAGTGCCCCTCATAGCCGTCTGCCCGCTGGAGCGTTGCAGCCATGATTAGGAAGATGCAAATACAACAGGCGATGGAAATTAAACTATGAGAGATCGTTTATTTGGCCTGCATAAATAATCATACAAAGTCGCCCACCCTCCCCGTCGCCACCCCCACCACCACCACCTCCACCACCACCCATCTATCTAACCTGTGGCAAATCAAACACCTACATAGGCTCCCACATCGCCACTGGATGAAGCCAACGGCACTCGGCAGCTGAGAATGAATAAGAGTGAGTCGAGAGGAGTTAACTGGCATTTGAAGGAACATGAATGTTAATGAGGACAGATTAGGAAGCAACAACAACCACCCTGACAAACACTCTGGGAGAAACACAAACAGACACTCTCCTGCTCAGCCTCACACCTTCAGCTGTGATATTAAAAGGTAGGACGTGTGTGTGTGTGTGTGTGTGTGTGTGTGTGTGTGTGTGTGTTAGCCTGCATCCACACACACACATATACAATATTATATTTGCAGTATATACCTGTGTCTAAATGTACACCATGAAAATGATCTGAGCCCCCATACTGTACATTCAGCCGTTGCATGCACACATCATATGTGTGTGTTCCATCAGCACAAACCCAGATTGCATAGCACACAGCAGAATGAAACCCATCTGGATGACAAAGCACAAATAAGATCTGGAGCCCTCTTCAATTAACAATTCTTCTTTCCTTCCCTTCCATTCGCCTACGATACACACGTTTTATTCCTGACATTAATTTGCTCCCTGGCGATCCCCTGGCCCCACCACTGCACCATAATAAATCTGATCCAGTGCCTCAGTGCTCAAAGCCCACCATAGAGACTGAGTACTTACCAGGACTGTCATGCAGAGAATTCTAATTCAGGCAGCTCCATGTTGCCAAGGAAATTCAAAATGCCTCCGAAAGCATGGAGACAGGGATGCAGGATTCAAGACGGGCTGGATTCAAATGGGAGAGAGGGATATATGCAGCGACGAGAATCCCCTTGTCTGAGGGGCATTTGAGAAATGCCTCCGTCCTCTCCAGATGCGCTAAATCCGGCAGCAGTGATAGGCTGACATGTAAACACACAGGCGGCTCTGCTGGCTCACACACGCTCACATACATGCTGCACCTAGCAGAGACGGAGAGGAAGAGGGAGGGGCAGCTGATGAGAGAGGTGGAAGGAGGAGCTGCAGTGCACTGAGAGTATGAGCGGCACAGAGCACAGGCAGCGAGGGGAGTTGAAAAGAAACGGAGAGAAATATTCTCTGATTGCACTGGCAGCGACTTCTGATTTTTTTTTTTTTTGTTTACTGTACGCTTCCTATTTATGGAAGGATTGGAACGATCTGGTTAGCTGGAATAGAAGCAGCTGCGTGCGGGAGAGAGAGAGAGAGAGAGAGATGATGCGTGTGGTGTGACAGAGGGAAAGGAGGTTAGAGAGGGAGAAGTATAAACGTGCAGAAACAGCAGAGGGATGAAGATGAGCAAAAAAAAAAGTGAAGGGGAGGGGGGTGGGATTGATGAAATGACAGGGATATATAGAGCAAATTAAATCCAATTTCTGCAGTGTGCAAACTTTTGCAGGTAATGACAGGTAACGTAAGACGTCGGATGGTATACGTGCTTTCTCCGTTTTCAGGATTCCTCGCCAGAGTCGAGGATAAATGCCACCCATAGTGCAAAGTGAGGTAATCGTCAGACAAGCTCACCTTTCCTGCGAGGAGCAGGGGGGGGTTGTTGGTTAGAAACAGAGGCTTAACGCTGCTAATGGGTATATGGGGTTGGCACACACACGCTGGCAGTGCCAAGGAGGCTCCACAGTCGGGGAGTGTTTATGGGAGATTAGGGGGCTGAGGATTTAGTGGAGTGGTGGTGGACATGAAGGGCTCCTGGCCACTGAATGAACCATGTGACAGATATTGTAAGGCTTAGACAAAGACAGCTATATTTTATTTTATTTCATACGTCCGATTCTATATTTTGTTATTCATATCAATGGATTTATCTTAATTTAATTGCTTTCGTTTTTTTCATCTTACTTTTTGAGACGAAGACGTTCCGGCAATCTACCGTCTACCAGAAAAGTCAACGCCGCTTTTGTACTAAATCTGTTAGACAAACAGCAGTACAACAGAGCTGAAGACAGCCAATGGTGGCACATCTCTGCTGCACAATAAAACATATAGAGGGGAAAGAATTATTCAGGCAGTTGGAAAAAGCGGAAGCACTCTACACCAATACAACATAAAAGAAATTTACGGCTCATTTCGCCAACTAGGAGCTAATCGAAAAGAGATGAGTTATGCCTCATGTAAGAAATAAAACCAGATGAAAGGTGGGTGTTGGAGAAATTTAAATGGATAACGCTATGGGTAAAAACCCCCTGACATGGAGCAGGATGAATTAATCTCATTTTTTTTTTCTCTACATTTTGAATGGTGCTGCCCCCACTATGGCCACTTATAAAAAGATTGGACAGCTGATTCATGACATATGCATTTACATTCAGCCGTGCTATGAATTTTCCTCTTTGTGTGCTAGCAGATGAAGGCCTCAGAATCCATGCGACTCGACACCTGTGATTTATGACCGGATTCGTCCCGGAGACCGTTTTGAAAAAATGATTGCATCCGTACGCTGGTGCCACAGAACTGTGTGGACATTTGATTTGAGAGGGAGGGCTTTCTCTGTTAAAATACAAGCTCTGTTTTTCCCGTAATGTCTGAACACATGCGATAACTTTCCACTCAGATGTTTTGTTCTTTAGAATAGCAAAGAATAAGGAGGAATTACTTGCTTGAGGTAAGCCGGCTGACGGAGGAGCTCGTCAGCTGGTGACACATTCATCCCATTTAAAAGCCTCTAATACTAAAATAAGTTGGTAGTTGTTCCCTCTGAGTTGCATCTGCATTAGTGTCTGTCTGCAGCGTTGCTTGGCAGACTGCTCGCCCACATCAATAAAACCCAAACGGTGTGTTCATGCGGCTGTTGATGGCCTATAAAATATATATCAGACATAATGGTTCAAACTTTTGATAAACTGACCATTGGTTAAGCTCAGCGTGCCTTAGTTACTGTTGCTATGCCTGTCAAGTTTGACATTCATTGCACAACAGTGGCAGATTTATCACTTCAAATTCCTATTTATTTTTTGAAAACATGGCAGACGAAAACATTTCTAGCCCTCAGCTGTCAATTGTTGCTGTTTGAAATGACTCTCTATGGCAGATTTCATCGGTTAGCTAGTCAGCTAGCTATGTAATTAAACTCACCTCAGCTGGGGTCTTACTACGTTTTCATTTCATTTTGTTTTTAATTTTTTAATGTCGCAAGAGGAAAGGCTTTAGGATGTGGACGAACTGACCCAACCGTATCTCGGGTAACGGCGTTGGCGAGGGTTGCTGTAGCGGACTTTAGCTCCTGTACTCCTGGTTTTGGAAAATGGATTGCTCTTACTGCAGGCCCATCAAATCCAAAGCATTCGAGCTCTGCTGTGTGCAAGCTGTGATTGGACAGTTGCTGTTCAGAGGAGGCGTGTCGTGGACAGTCAGTTCAAAGAGTATCTTTTGAATCAGGAGTTCCCACATAGTTTAAACACGTCTTACTTATGAACCCTGACTCCAGGGTGACCTGCTCTTCAGATTTTGGCCGCTCTGCCGCTGCTCGGCTCGGCTCGGCTCGGCTCGGCTCGGCTCAGCTCTGTCCCTGGGGGCTTGTTGCCAACTGATCAGGTTCTGCTTTTTAACCCCACACACTTAATTCACAAACTGAATGAATACAGTGTGGGCACATTGAATTGCTGTGCATGCTTGTAAACATCTGTGCCTGAGCTTCGCGGCTGCTCCGGGGTCTCCGTGCCTGAGCATTTTAAATAGCTGACTTAACATCACCTGCAACAACAAAATTATACAATGTTTTAAAATAAGTGAGTCAAGGCACAAAATCTTAAACCCCCGCTTTCATGCAAACTCCTTTCAGGAAGAAATGTTGAGTTGCAACAAACATCTGCTCTTTACAGTAAAAAAAAAACAAAACATTCTCACATACATTTAAAAAAAGCACATTCACAAATGCAATCAGTGCGATTCTGCTGTTAATCTGACCGTGGCTCTGTGCTCTGTGTGGACATGAACACATTACAAATTCATGATCGGTTGAGTGGTTAAATCTCTGGCACGAGACATTGTCAAGCTACAACCTGGAAGGCTTCTTTCGCCTCTCAGCCAATCACCAGTCAGCTGTCTTCTCCCGAGCCAAACAACTTAGCAGCTTAAAGATACACTCACTGATTTATTTACCTTTTCTACTAGTTCTCTATTGACATTTTATTTGAGATGAGTAGCTGATTTTCTAAGCATGAGCAGTGAAGTGGGGTGGGGGGTGCGCTGGGCGCTGGGGCCACTATTAGCTGCTATATCACAGTCAATTTTCCCCCGTCTTAGTCATTAAAATAGCCGGAAATATCTATGTTTCATGACAGATATCAAGGTAAGGCCCAGACGGGCTGTCAGTAGCATCACTTCATTTTATGTGAGCCAGCTGTTGGAAAAAGTAGTAGATTATAAAGTGGAGGGAAAGCAGGATATCAACGAGGTCTCGCCCTGTCGCCTGCTCTTACAATTACTGACATTACTAATTTCATAGCGATCATTACGAATAGGTCAATGTGACATAATCTAGTCTACATTTACCCGGACGTCCACAGAGGTAATAAAACTCCACTAAATGGCATAACGGTTTAAAAAAAGACGTCAAAGTACTCGGACACTTAGGGTACATTTTTTCCGTTAAGCCTGTCGAGTGAGGACTTAACACCAAACCGTGTCATGTACATGTTTTCAGAGCCGCTATCTCGGCAGCGTTAAGTGTCTCTCGGGCAGCTGCTAAACACGTGGTGGGGTTTTACCAAAATACACATAATCAGCCCCCCCCCCCTCCGTAAGTCTGTAAGTCTGCTGCTGCAGCCCCACAAACAACCAAGTTATTCAGAGAGCGCGAGTCCAGCGGTCGGCTCTAAAGAGGATTCTGCTGCTGGCACCCGGCGCTACGCGTGGAAGCCTGAAGGGCCCCGAAGAGTCATGAGTGAAACGTAGAGCTTTAGCCGTAGAAAAGAAAAAGAAGTTCACAGTTCTGAAATCAGACTGACGTGTTTCTGTGAATATGGATAAATTAGATGCAAATAAAAAAAAAAACACAGAAAGATTCATCCATAAAAAAAGTAAAGAAAAATCCAGCGAGGGCTGCATGGGAGACTCGTCCTCACGCTTAATGAGAGCGAGTCTGACTTTGTCATAGTTTATATCGTATTCGACCTCCGTGACTCCATCATCACTTACAGTCTTTTCTTCCTCCAGTTCAGGACAACATGTAAAACCTTTAACTTATGGTGAATTAATTTGTTAATGTCTTTGTTTCCTGCCGCCTTGGCTTGGTTATTAAATGGTCTTTTCTCTTCACGCTGCACCTAACTGTCAAAATATGCTGCTGCAACAGTTTTTACTGACACCAACAAGAGACTATTTCTCTCCGGTGCTTGGTTCTCTTCACTGTGCATAAAAAAAACATTGATTTTAAGATATTGCATTTTCTTTAATGCACTCAGTGGGAACCCTATACATCTTCAAGCTGCTGGTTGTTTCTTGCTCTTACTTTATTACATAAAAGTAAGCAAAACTTTCTTGTACCTGAACCTTATTTTACCCAAACTTATCTGCCAAGTACTGAAGTCAAAATTTAAAAAAATAGTTGCAGGTTTGCAGGTGGCGAGGAGAATGTACTGGATATTATATATAATAAGTATGGCTCCAAATGAAAGCTAATGTTGCTCCGTGTTTGCTGGTGTATTAATAACCAAGTCTTTGCCAACACATAAAAACTGTTCAATCAATGTTGTGGTTACAGCTCGTTACACTCAATTAAACTCAGTTAATGCAGGTTGCATGTTATAAAAA